TAAGTCCTAACATCCTCGCACACCATACGACCCGCTAACCAGTACGTCAGTCATTTTCGGGTGCGTAGACACGTTTACACCGGGGTCAACTGAACACCGAGGAAACGACGCATGTCCTGTAGCGAGTAAGAGGGTCACGCTATCAGTCTGTGCCTGTCATCTTATGAGGGGTTCTCCGCAAATTCTAGAATTATTCCACAAGCGGTCTGCGTACGACACGGACTCGCTATCGGCGCGAGGTGCGCGCCTTTCGTGCTTTTCCTAATGTATATACTATGTGAGTGTAATCATTAACTCCAATTTGTTGACTGCATTGCATTTTGGCTACAGCTCCCGTCGCTTATCCCATTGCCAAGCTTCTTGATCGCGTGTTGGGAAAGAGCGAGACGCACACCTACAAGAAAGCGGAATTGAAATCTTTCCTTCAGTTCCATCGTACAGGAGAAGAACCTCTGAGAGACGACGAAATCTGCATACTCAACGGGGTACTGGAGCTCAACAACAAGAATGTGGAGAGCATCATGACGCCAATTTGTGTCCGTTTTCGTTTCAGTGTCCTTGTCCAATTACGCTTACGCAAACATTTCCCCAGGATGTGGTGACTCTGAGCTCGGATACTATCTTGGACCACGCAACAGTGGAAGCAATGTAATTTCATTCGTCCGAACCCCATATACGCACCTTGTTTCTAATCCGTTCATTTGCAGACTCACGAGTGGATATTCTCGAATCCCGATTCATGAACCAGCTGATCCACTAGCCTTCCAAGGTTTGCTTCTCGTCAAGAAGGTAGAATGTCTTTCTTTCCTTGACAAAACGGTGCTTAACTCTACGATCTAGCTCCTTACCTATGACCCGTCGAAATGTTTACCAGTATCCCACTTTAAGCTCTCCATTCTTCCCGAAGCACATCCTTCTATAAATTGTTTCCAAGCGTTGGATTACTTGTGAGATCTCGTTCTCATTCTGGTCGTGGCGCTGTGTACGAACATTTTCCCGCAGCCAAACCGGGCGCGCGCACTTGCTCTTGATCAGTCATACGCCAGGCATAGCGGGTGGTGCTATCGGTGTGATCACACTCGAAGGTCCGTGGTCCCACAACCTTACCCTACTCCGGCAATTCTGACATCATACACCACAACGCAGACGTCATCGAAGTTAGCAACTGCTCGTTGTGCACTGTTTCAAGAACTGACACTTTTCGTAGGAAATCATATCCGAAGAGATCGTGGACGAGACAGATCGATATGAAGACAACCAAAGCAAGAGGCAAGCCAAGCGCTTGACCACCGCCGCAGTGATGCGAGGGTGAGTGACATGAATGTAAACGAATGTCGTGTTCGGGTGCGCCTAATTTCTGCCCCACTATCACCAGTATCGTCGAACGAGACCGTAGCCTGGCGCGCTCGACACCAGCAGAACTGCGCACACCCCTACTTCCTATCTCTCCTCAGGCCGGAACGCCCCCGCGTAGCGGTTACGGGACGCTCAGTGCATCTCTCAAACGTTGACCTATTATCTACACGTCTCCGTTGACAATACGGTCGCGAATCACCTTTCGAACTGCAAAGTTGGGCTGGGGTTGTAATATCTAACGCATAGAAGTTGTCGTGTCACATATCCGTTGTGTCGCTTTACTGTTTTCACAGCCTACGCATGTTTCTAGCTATCGAGTCTGTCGGTGCTATTCTTGGGTTTCGTTGGCGCATTTATCATCCAATTCGCGAACTCTATCCTACGTTGAGGGTGGTAAGAGGGGCTGAGAGCTGAGAGCGTGATGCGAGTCTTACTTCTAACGCAAACAAATGAGAGTCGAAGGACGCAGGTGCGAGTTTCCTAACAGACTCTGCCAGCTGGTATAAGTAGTCCTGTATGAAAAGACGAGGTCGTTCGCATGTACAGGTAGTTTCCAGTGTCCCGAACCCACCTTGTTTCTCCCCGACGGTCCGACCGATCTCCAGATGCGATCCGCGAGAGCCTCCAGAGGCTCTGAACCCACTGAAAATGCCGTTATGTACAGTTCGGAAGTAAGGTTACTGTACAAAATCACGCACCGAATGAGGGGTTATCTGGATGGCCGACATAACACTAGTGAAAAGTCCAAAGAATCAATGCCGACCACGCCATGAGTCCAGATAATCTACCGACATATGCCTTTTAATTTTGAAAAATACAAAAAATGGAGTAAGGGATGCATGCAGGTGTAAGAGGGAGCATCGACGTACATTATGGACGATCACTTTTTCGACCCCGTCTTCTATGGTATATACATCGAGTGTCTCTAGGGTATACCCATCCTAGGGGGAATGAAATATCTCTTCTATTTTCTTTTTTTTTAAAAGAGGGTGTTTACCTTTTCGCGGTAATCTGCGCATGATAAATGTATGCATTGGTTCGCCAATCGTCCGAATGCTTGTTACAAAGAAAGTTTGAGCACATGAGAACTTACCCAGATAATCGCGAACTTCAGATTCGTAGAGAGGATTTACGGTATACGCGATACCTGTATAACAGCAGAGCGCATGTTCGATGTCCAGGTTAGCAGAACTAAGCATGCGTTTCGGTTCACAACAGAATAAGCGGACTTGCCCCAAACGACATCTTCATCGGGAAAGGCATCCTGCAATAGCAAAACGGGCGAAAAGATCGGTACGATAGCGTGTGCAGCGTGTGTGTGTGTGTTTGCAGGATATGCAGGATGATGGTATCACCAACGATATGTATATGAGGGATAGTAACAGGGACGCACAGATCCAGAAAAGTGATCCCAGTCTTCTTTGTGGACCAGGGTAACGACTCGGCCTGGGTTCTTTGAGGTATGTACGTTTACAGCAACAGAACAAAGGGAACGGACCAGACAATCAAATGTGTAGAGTGTAGAACATCAACATCAGTGTACGTACCTCTGGCGTTCCACGATGATCATGCGATTTCTGCGCAAACCGCCGCACGTAACCTTTAAGAAATCCTGGCACTGACGATCGCGACGATCAGTACAAGATGGTCGTGAAAACTCGTCCGCTAAAGCGATATGTGGTGGACTGATTTTACCTTCCGATATGATGTATGGGGGTGGCTAGTGATATCAGCAAGACTTTCCACCTTCGTTGGCCACCTGCACTGTACCTTGAATATGAGGGACCCATACCCAAACACGACGCACGGCGTCTTCGAGGGCATCCAAGCAAATTGCTACACTACTACTGGCTAGAATACAACGCAACACGAGCTTATCCGACAGCACATACAACGCGGCACACGTGACCCGCATGGCCCCTGTTTTTTTGAATCGATCATCGACGTATCCACGGCCACCCAAGTACTACTTAGCACTGTAGAGAGAAAATGCTTGGACACACGGACGTCTGACAGGTGGCCAAGCCTGCTCACCTGAAGTTATACTTCACGCTGGTCCTCCATTCGATGAACGCAGGCCAGAACCAATAGAGAACGTGTGCAACCCTGTAATGGCGAGGAATATACACGTTCCTCTCTCCTCTGTCAATCGCGCGCATACACCCTCTCGCCACCACTTCCCGCTTCAAACCATTCTTTTTTGGGTCATCTTCGTGAATTTTTGGCGGAGTAGTCCAACCGGGTGGGTTGTCCACCGCAGAGGCACGGAAGTCACCCTCGATAGTGCCGGGAAAGAAAAATGTAAATTTGATGGAAGGATGTTCAATTTGAAGGGCTTGGTACAACATAAGGGATGCACACTTCGTCGAGGCATAGATGGACCGGGTAGGTGGGGGTAACACTGCTGCAGCACTAGACAACAACAGTATAGATGGAGAGGAGGATGTGTAGGTCAAAAGAGGGATCTATTAAGGAAACAGGTCAGCAGCGAGAAAACAACGGTGATAAGGGTGTTGGCTGACCAAAGTGACTGCGGCGACAAGGGAGCCGAGATAATTGCCATTGACGGCAGCTTGAGCAGCGTTAACTGCGTGTTGAATGCCCTCCGGACTCGCCTGAGATCCTACGATATCCGGAGTTGACATCTCAACTCCGGCGACAGCCATGAGAGGCTGCAGAGTCGAAACTCCCGCAGCGACAATGACGGTATCCAAGCCGCTCCATGCTGAAAAAGGCCGCTTGAGTATCATCATCCTCTTTGACCTCAGAACCAGCACGGAATACACACCCTTTTCCACCGTTTCGCGCACTCGGATCATGTCGTTGACATCGGAAATATCGGCTCGCACTCCTAGCCCTCTACCCTCGAACCCATTCCGAGCAGCAAGCTCGACACATTCCTGCACGACCTCGTTGAGCTTTTCCTCTCGGCGACCCACCACACAGACATATGCACCTCGAACAGCATACTGCTGAGCGATGACACGTCCGACACCACTCGTGGCGCCGAGGATGAGGACTCTTTCTTTGCTCGCAGCGATGACCCGGGTTCGTTGTGGCGGTCGACTACGGAAAAGTAAACATGTGACGACTGAAAGAGATACGGCACCAGCGATGTAGAGTGGTACCTGGGGCACCCGCTGAGCCAGCCTCGTTAATATCGTGCTTGCGGTCTCACTCGCCATATTGTCAATGTGGTAGTCGAGCATACAGAGTATTACATAATTGAGACGCAGGCAATTCGTTTGTATCAGTCATTTCCGAGTGGCAGGAGTCGGGCTTGTACGGTAACAAACGGATTCTAACGTCGAATCACCATCGCAATTCTCGTCCAGTCTTCATGACGAGTGAACGGATCTGTCATGGACAGAGGTACTTGTGTAGGCGCAAAGGCAGACTGAATGGTAATGTCGATAGTGGGACTAAATACTGTACGACATATGAAGTATACCTTAGCCATTGCTTGGCAGGAATGTTGATATTCCGAGATGAAGTGCGTATCGTACAAGGAACAGGCACTTTTTTTTTTGGTTTTGTATTCCTTTTCCTCCTTTTCTTTATTTATTTCTGCTCTTTTTTGGACGAAACACAGGGACAACAGAACATGACCATGGCCAACAACTTGGATTGGAAGACTGAAGCGATCAGATCACTTCATCCGATAGGTAGCAGCAGGCAGGCTCAGCGGAGGAACCAGCATCTGCATCAGGGTCATCGACGGACACATCTTCACAGGGTTCGAAAGACACGCCTTCAGAGAACCCGGTGGACACCGCTTCAGAGCTAATAGTACATCACCATGAGAAGCGTCATCGGTAATGGAATTGACTGTACTCACAGATCTGGGAACGTAAAATTTGACGAGCCTGATGGTGAAAGGCTTTCATCCATTGCCTGAGGTACAGTGGTATTATCGGAGCAACAGATGAAAGAGTGCTCTCTGTGGATGTGTAGCAGCAGGGCACAGGACGACGGTCAGCGATGGCGGAGCAGCTCAAATGTTGAGAACACACACAGTCTATGGATGGGTAATCTCAAGGCAAGGGTCAGCAAACTGCCAGGGCTCAAATGGTGAGAAAACGCACTTGCTGTAGATGGGAAGTAGCAGGGCAAGGATCAGCAATCGGTCAGATACTCAAATGCAGAGAAGACGCACTCGCTGTGGATGGGTAACAGCAGGAGAAGGGTCAGCTGACAGTCAGAAGCAACGTACATCCTGTGATTGATAATAGCAAGGCAGGGGTCAGCAGAGGGATAGACACTCAAATGGTAATAGCTCGCACTCCCTGAAGCTGGTAATAGCAAGGCTGGGATCAGCAGATCGCCTGAAGCCCCACACTCACAATCTGTGATGGGTAATAGTAGAGCAAAGGTCAGCAAACGGCGAGACACTCAAATGGAAAGAAGACACACTCCTTGCGGTGGGTGATAGCAGGGCAAATGTCAGCAGACAACTAGACACTCAGGTGGTGAGAATGCGCACTCGCTGTGGAAGGGTAATAGCAGGGCAAGGGTCAACAGACTGCTAGAGTTCGAATAGTGAGAACACATACTCCTGTGATCGTCAATGGTGCGGCGGGGGTCAGCAGGCTGCCAGAAGCATAAATAGTGAGAACACGCACTTCCTGTAATAAGTAATAGCAGGGCAAGGGTACGCATGGGATAGACGGTCAAATGGTAATAGCAGGGTATGGGTCAGCAGAGGCACAGACAGTCAAATGGGTCAAAGAACGGCTAGGAGGTCAAAAGGTGAGAACACGCACAAACTGAGGATGGGTAATAGCGGGGCAATTGTCAACAGACGGCCGGAAGTCCTGTGAGCGTCAATGGTACAACAGAGATCAGCAGACCACCAGAAACACAAATAATGAGAACACGCACAATCTGAGGATGTGTAATAGCGGGGCAATTGTGAACAGACGGCCGGAAGTCCTGTGAGCGTCAACGGTACAAGAGAGATCAGCAGACCGCCAGAAGCACAAATAATGAGAACACGCACAATCTGAGGATAGGTAATAGCGGGGCAATTGTGAACAGGCAGCCGGAAGTACTGTGAGCGTCAATGGTACAACAGAGATCAGCAGACCGCCAGAAGCACAAATAACGAGAACACGCACAATCTGAGGATGGGTAATAGCGGGGCAATTGTCAACAGACGGCCAGAAATCCTGTGATCGTCAATGGTACAACAGAGATCGGCGGACCGCCGGAAGCACAAATAATGAGAACACGAACGAACTGCAGATGTAAAATAGCAGGGAAAAGGTCATCAGACAGCAAGAGGCTCAAATGTTAAGAACACGCACTTGCTGTGAAAGGGTGATAGCAGTGGAAGACTTAGCAGATGGCTCAGCAGATGGCCAGAAGGACAAAATGATGAGGACACGCACGTCCTGTGGATGGGTAATAGCAGGCGAAGGGTCAGCAGATGGGAATATGCACTAGCGAAGCACGCACTGGTGAAGTGTCCAATTCCAAACTACAGCATTCCATAGCATCACTCAGCTGTGAATTGGTAATAGCAAGGTGAGGATCAGAAAACAGCCAGAAGCCCAAAAGGTAAGAACACGCACTCGCTACAGATAGGTAACAGCAGGGCAAGGGTCAGCAAGTGGCTAGCAGCTTCAAAAGTGACAGCACGCAGGGTCTGGATGGGTAACATAGATAGTAGCAGGGTAGGGGTCAGCAAATGGCCAGCATATTCAAAGGTGATAGCACGCACAAACTGGATGGGCAAGATGGATAGTAGCAGGGCAGGGTGTCAGTAAATGGTCAGAAATTTAAATGGTAAGAACACAACACACGCTCTGTGGATGGATGATAAAAGGGCAAGGGTCAGCATATGGACAGAAGCTCAAAAGGTTGAAACACAAACTTCCTGTGGATGGGTAATACAGTACACTTTCTCATAATGTATACTAGTTGCACAGCCAAATCTTTATACATTATGAGAATTATATGGAACCAGTGTGTGGCAAAATGTGACAAAATGTAACATGTGAAATTATTTCCTAACAAAGTACTGTTCCAGTTTAGTTTGTGTGCATGCATTTCTCAGCTCCTCATGGTGAAGCATACCACAGAACTGATGGAGCAGTCTTGCCAGATCCAACAATGAGTTGGTGTCACTGACCTGCATGCATGCTGACTCGATTGTCTCGCACATGTTAATAAGGTCAGCATAATCCAGTTTCAGTGGAGTTTGCTGATCTTCATCATCAGACTCCAGCTCCACAACCTCACCCTGCTTGATGGCAAGTTCACACTGCACTGCTGCAACAATTTCAGTGTCTCCACCCTCAAATGCATATTGAGACTCTCCAATCTCTTGCTCCTCTTTGGGATCAAGAACTTCATCAATTGTGGGTGGCAATCCAATGATCCAATTGTGTGATTTCAAGATTTTGATGGAGTTGGAGAGTGCTTCCTTGAGAGCAACCAGCTGTGGCAGGTCTGTGCATGGGGTTATCTTAATGGTAAGTCCAGTGTGGTGAAGTGCTGCTTGGGCAAGCTTCTCAACACCTGCTACAGCCTGTGTGGCATCTCCCTCAGCTCCCATGACAGTGTTGAATGCTTCTTGCCAATGTTCATAAACATACTTGTCCCTGAGCAGGTCCTGAAGCCATTTTTCAGCAGCTGGAAGAGTCATGGCTGAGTCTGCAGCAAAGTCTTGTATGATACTCCAAGCTTCTGGATTTGCATGGGCAGGGTGAGAGGTTGGTGCAGTCACTTTCTGGATTCCACAATGATCCCAACAGTTCTTGATAGTGATTGGCATGACTGCATCCCAGGCTTCTTTAGCCATTACCATAGCTTCATGAGGGGTTATCTTGTAGATGTCTCATCTCCAGCCTTGTCTAGGTCAATTACATGCTGGCAAAACCCCTGTCTGTAGTGGGCTTTGAATGAATGGATGATGCTAGCATCATTTGGTTGGACATGTGAGGTAAGATTTGGATGGAAGGACTCAAGCTGAATGTGTCCTGGTTTGTAGGTGATCAAGTGACTGCTAAAGTTGTCCACATAGAGGCACACATAACACTTTTTGTTGCCCATTTTCCTATTGAACATCTTCACCCACCTGAGATGTGGTTGATATGAGTTTAGTGGGGCTGAAAAGTTTAGATTTGTGCTTACTCCTCAAATAAATCTGCAGTCATCCATACTTTTTGATTGCTATGGTAGTAGAATCCATACTGCTGTGGTGTCTTGTTTACAAAGCAGCATGGCTTCTTTGACCACCCAATGTAGAACAATGGCATCTTCTCACTCCCATCTGCATTTGCAGTGAGCCCAAGTGTAATTCAGAATTTTTCCTTTTTCTTCCCTTTCATTTGTTTTGTTGCAAGTCTGTGATCAGGAGGAGCACTACCCATTGTTGAAAGGTGAGTGCACTTGTGAAAATCTGGTTGTGTGATACTCACAATGCAAACAGACTTGTTTTGTCGAAATTCCACTGGTCCTTGAGTGGAAATGTTGCCAGGACCTTCTGCACATGAGCCCTTTCACTGTCCACTGTACTTGGATCAATGGATCTAGCTTCTCCATGTTGCTGGTATTCCTTGATCTTGTATGCCTTGCAGAAAGGTGCAATCCACCCTTCACCATGAAGGCACTTTTCATTTGGAATGTTGAACTCATCCTTGAACCATTTCTGCTTCTCTTGCAGCATTGGGCCATTCACCACCTCCCCCTTTTCTTCCATGTGCTTGATCCACTTGAAGAGTGCTTTCTTGACCTCTGGACTTGTGACTGCATGAGGGCATTTCCTTGAAAGTGCATCTGGATGGCTTTGTACTTGTGCTTCCAGCTGCTCCCTTTCCTTTAGTTTTTGGGAAAGAGTTGCCTGAGTGAACTTCAAAACACCCTCCACTTGTGAGCTAAAGTACAAAACAACTTGGTCTTGGGGTAGGTCTGGGTGCTTGTCAATGTATGCAAAGACTGTTAGCCAATCATTAAGAGTGAGATTTTCATGTCTTTTTGGCTTTGCCAAGATGGCTGATGTGGCAGGAGTACTTTTGGATGGCTGTGCCCTTGGTTGCTGATTGTAGGGAGCTGGCTTTGGCCATGGTCTATGCTCCCCAAGCTCAGCTGGCATGGTGGTCTGTAGTGAACACAGTTTTTTTTTTTTTTTTTTTTTTTTTTCTCACTTCTGTACCCTATTTGTGCTAGTGCAGGCTAGTGCTGAGCTCCAATCTGCCATGTGGCAAGTCACCCTAACAAATTCCATATGCTCATCACTGCTAACAGGGTATCTCATACTGTATGAAAGTAGTTTGTGGGCTATACATTATACATTATACAAAAATACTGCATTTTCCCTGCATACCACAGTGGGAATTGCCTAAAGTCCATATGTTATGAGAATTATACATTATGACCAGATACATTATGAGAAAGTGTACTGTAGCAAGTTAAGGATCAGAAAATGGCCAGAAACTCAAAAGACAACAACACACACAGGTTTTGGATGGGAGATAGAGAAGGTGAGCAAATGGCCAGTAGCTCAGAAGGCAAGAACATGCACATACTGTGGATGGGTAATAGTGGGACAAAGATCAGGAAATGGCCAGAAACCCAAAAGGTGAGAAGATGCACTCACTGCAGAAAAGTAGTAGCAGGGCAGGGATCAGCAAATGGCCAGAAGTTCAACAAAGTTCAACAGGTGACAATGGGCACATGCTGTATATGGGTAATAGCAGCAGGTCAAGGATCAGCAAATGACAAGAAGCTCAGAAGGTGAGAAGACACACATACTGTGGGTGGGTAATAGCAAGGCAACAGTTAGCAAACAGCCAGAAGCTTGGGAGTGTTGGTGTCAATGGTCACATGTTAGGTGCACTTGTACTTATAGAACTGTTTATGTTAGTTTACACCTCAGTGCTTTTGTCTATGATGCTGAGGTGGGTATGGTAACCCCTGAGGACACATGTGTGTACTTACCTCCTGTAGTGTGTCCTATCAGGTATTGTCAATGATAGCACTTGTGTCTACAATGCTGAGTGTGTCCTATCAGTTTTACAACAGGTTGTGAGCCCTCTTCATCACTGATTCTGACATTACTCATCCATCTGCATATAGGCACATATATACACTTTTAACATGTGTCTTTGCTACCCCCAGCTGCTCCAGACATCACTGTTCATCATGGGCAAATTTGATCATATCCCTGAGTTAACCAATGCCTCAACCTTCTTTGCCTGGAAGACACAGGTGCTTCTAGCCTTGGATTGTGAGGGCACATATAGTCATGTCAGTGATGGCACAGACCTGCTGGACCCTATTGAGTTTGCATCAGTAAAGCTGAAACCTCCAAATCCTGCTAAGCTCACAGATGATGAGTGGAAGGCAATAGTTGATTGGTCTAAGGCAGATGCTGTGGCAAAAGATGTTTTATGTTGACATTTATCACCAGCTGTTCTTTGTGTCATTCCCCCCAAGAGAGGCCTACCACTGCTCAGGATGTTTGGGTCACTCTCCATGATAATTTTGACCATGTTGACATTGGTTCATGGCACCTTGTACAGGTGAGGATCTTGCACATGTGTATGAAGGATGCCAGTGATGTGGCTCATTACTTGTCAGAGCATTCTGCTGCTTGGTATGACCTCATTTGCATGGGGGCATCCTACTTGGATGAGGAGGCTATCTTCCATCTCATTGAAGGTCTTCCAGAGACTGGCACCTGGCTGTCTTTCCACCTCTTCCTACAAAGCTCCTGTACTGTTGCAGCTGCTGCCTCTACCAGTACCTCTGTTTCCTCTGCATCCAAGACTTCTGCCTCTACGACCCATTCCTCCATCTCTATGGCACTGTCCATGAGCTTGGTGACTTTTGAGAGTGTCTCAGTCAAGATTGTGGCTGAGGCTCACCATTTGGTCCAACAACTCTCCTTTTTGTCTGTGGGGTCTGAGTACACTAATGCTGCAACCTTGCCTGTTGGCCCACCCAATGTAAACCCAGCAACAGGCCTCCAGAAGACATGCAACAATCCATCAGGCACCTACTGTGATACTCCCATTGGCAAGGGCCTCATTTGTGGTGCTAGCAATCATGATAAGGCACACTGCTTCAAGCCTGGGGGCAGTATGGCTGGTCAACAACCCTCCTGGCAGAAGGGTAAAGTTGACAAGGAAAAGGACAAACTCACTTCAGCCACAGTGACCACTGTGTCCACACCCACTGCACCTGCACCTCCCACTCCTACATCAGCTCCAGTGGCTGTGACAGCACTTGACTCTTCTGTGGCCTCTCCTTGGGCCACACATTCTGGGGATCTTACTTGCATGGTTAATACTGAGCTTGATGAAGGTGGGGATGCACCTACACCATCACCAGCCTTAAAGGCATGCCTTGGCACTCTCTCAGCTTCTAGTCTTTTGATCTCTGGCACTTCCTGCATGCTGGTCTGCAATTGTGCCTTCTTTCAAACCTATGTGCCAGACATGTCTGTGAATATTCAAATGGCCAATCACAGACACTTACCTACTACTGGACATGGTGAATGTCTGGCCTTCCTATCCATCAACAGTGATAAGTATCAGGTATGACTCACCAACTGTTTGCATGCACCACAGGCTGCACTGCACCTCATCTTGGTTGGGTGGATGCTCCACCAGGGCTGGGGTTGCAATTTCCAGGGAGAATCTGCACACTGAGCTCTCTTACCATGGATGTCCATTGGGTGGTGTGCAGCTACAGTCAAATAACCTCTGCTTCCTGGACCTTGAGTTTGTTTGCTTCAATGCACCCCCACCTCTCACCACCAGCCTGGTCCTCACCACCTTTGCTTGCATCCCAGTCACCTATGATTTGCAGCATGCCAGGATTGGCCATGCTGGTGGCAGGGTGGCAAGTCAACTGTCCTTGATCATGTCCTGTATCACCATTAGCTCCTCCTGTCTGCAGTTGATCTGTGAGTCCTGTGTGGTCAGGAAGCATGCTCACTCACCATTCAAACCCTCTAAGAGCCATACCACCACCTTTCTTGAGCTTGTACACACTGATCTTGGGGGACCTATGCTGATGCAGACCTTCCATGGCAAGTTGTACTTCATGGTTATCCTTGATGACTATACCCATGTCCTGGATGTACATTTGCTTTCCCACAAGGACCAGGCTCTTGAAGCCTCAGAGGTTACTTGAACCCACTGGGAATGGCAGCATGGTATGATGGTCAAGGCTCTGCAGTTGGACAATGGGGGAGAGTTTCTCAGTAATATGTTCATCCAGTCCTTGAACTCACAGGGTATTGCTCATTGTTTGTCCATGCCATATATGCACCAGTAAAATGGGGTTGCTGAACAGGTTATCCACACATTAGAGGGACATGTCTTGGCCATGTTACATCTCACTTGGCTCCCACTCACTTACTGGGGTGAGGCAATGCTCACAGCTTCCTATCTACATAATTGCACAGGGTCACATGTCTTACCAAATGGGATCATGCCCTATGAAATGTTGCATCACACATGACCTGATCTCAGTCACTTGCAGGTATGGGGCTGTTGAGCTTATGTGCATATCCCTTTAGAACTCCAGCAGACATTAGGACCCAAGTCCAGACTGGTATGCTTTATGGGTTATCCACCAGGGGTCAAGGCATATAGGGTGTGGGATGTTAGCACTGGGCAGTTCTTTGATTCTAGGGATGTCATTTTTGATGAAGACATTCATGTGTTACCCTTTGAGAACACATCAACCAGTGGACCATCATCCATGACTGACAAAGACTTAAGTTCGGATGAGGACTCTGATGACTCACAACCCCCATCCCCATTGCCCTCATCATCTCAGTTGCCCTTG